AAGAAATGATTGGCTTAACGCCATCTCCTGCATCATGCTGAAAAGTTACTTTAAAGTTAGTTTTGTCTTATTTTGAAGGCAAGTCAAAGTTTATTTATATAGTAGGTGAAAAAAAATGCTTCACAGCAGCCATGACATTTGTTTTAAACTGAATTTAAATCAGAAAATAAAATAAAGTTTGGTAAAAAATAATGAAACTGGCAGAAAATACTAAAAACTAATACCAAAAAAAGTGTAAGATATGCACAGACTTTTCTTTGGAGCTTCTTTTCTTTAAGTCTTATTATAAATTTAATAATCTGCCAATGGAACTACTACTTTTAAAATCTGTATTAGGGAATTAAGTTGCTTATAAATTCATTTAGTCTTTTTTCAAGTGCACCAGAAACTAGACAAAAATACTTTTTGTCTAGTTTTGTCAGTGTAGATCAGCCACTGCTTCCCATTAATGCAAATTATTAAACTGTTGTGTTCCGGTATTAGAACTACATCAGTAATATAATGTAAAAAAAATAATTAGAATGAGTATTAGAGCTGCTGTTTTAACGTGAGAGCTGGTTTTCTTCTGGACAGTCCAGTCGCTCAGGTGGATCCAGGTCAAACTCTGCAGAGCAGAAAGTCGTCTTTGAACTTCTCACTCAGCTCAGCCGCGTTATATTTAGAGTTTAAGGGATATATCTGATATGAGAAACGTCTCATAATGGCACCGTTTCTGTTTGCCAGCCAATACCGTCTCTGAGCTTCCAGCTTTATCAAGATCAAAGAGAACGTCTTCTCTTTCATCACCGCAGAAAAGCACAAAACTCCACATCATTTTATTACAGAGGCGCAGTCAGAAAGGAGGAGTGAGTTTGTGTTTGAAGCTTTCAAACCTGATCGTTACGGGACATCCTTTCATGTCCCGTTTAGGAGGATTATTTGCAATTTGTCATTTCTCCTGAATAAACATCACTTTTCTGCCTGGCTTTGCAAACTGAGGAAAAACAGCAAAGGAAAGCAAACCTCCGACTCATTAATGAGCAGGTCAGACTTATTTAAACCACTTTTATCATCCGTATAACTCCTGTTTTAATCATTGGCTAGACTAGCAGGGAGAGGTTTGCTTTGATCAGGAAAGTATCTGAATTTAATCAAGAATCAGGGTCTGGCTTCAGAATATCTGCAAAGAGCAAACGACTGATTAGGGAGGTGGGAGGAAAATATCAGCGGGAAAAGCTCAAACACCGAGGCCTCGTTAAGGTAATGGATGGCTGCTGATTAAGAGCTGAAGACTGTTGGATTTGTGAGACTTCAGGACATTTAGAGATGAAATATGATGTACGGAGTCAAGAGGCATCCAGAACTCCATGGACTAATATTCCCTTAATATTTTATCATCCTACAGATGATCCATGTCGACTCTTCAAGACGCATCTCGATCTGAATATCAAAACTTATTTCATGTATTCTCCATGTTCATATAAGGAGCTTCAGTTATAAAAATGCTCTACATAAACATGATTTAAAAGAAATCTGATGCCTTTAAATTGGGTCTCTGTCTCTTTAAGAAGCTCTGACTCTTTCAGAGACTCATCACAACAATGCTCCTCGTTACGCCGTTTATAACTGTTCTTAGGAGCGTTGGACTGAGAAGTAGTTTGCATTATAAGCTCAGCAGACTTCCAGTTCCAGCAGGTGTTTCCTAATTGCTGCTGCCGCTAGTCTGGAGGAGCTGAGTGGTGCAGGGATGTTCACTGTAGGGGAGTTTGTGAAAATAGGAAGCATTTCTTTTTTTTTTCAAGCATTTATTTCAATTAACTCTGGTTTACAACTTAAAAAAGTTAATAATAAAAACATGGGGAATACTGCTGCAATCATGGCAGCAATTCAGCTGGCCCCCAAGTAAAGTAAATTTAGTGGAAGGAAAAGAGGTTGTGGAAGAAAAAAACTTGGTTTTCATCAAGTCCGAACTCAGAGCAGCCAGGATGTTTTAGAGCACTCCATGCTGCTGACAGGACTTGGTCCAGGAATCACTGCCAAAACTACCAATACCTGCGGTAATCACCATGGCAACAGCATAAACTGTGGTCAAGAGAAGCAACAGTTGACATCTAACAAAGCAACCTGAACACCTGAGCAGAAGCGCAGGCTGCTCTGCTCCATGCTGCGCTGAAGCAGCAATTCATGCAAAAGGAGCCCAGACCAAAAACTGGGAGCAGAAACTGAATAAATACAGTTTTTATAAACTGTTAGTTAAATTACTGAAACAAATAAAGTTTTGTATTGAAATGAAAGTGATGGATGAATAACCAGATTGTAGCAGAAACAACTTTGACCTCCTTTTACTTATTAATCATGTTTATTTCATCTGCCTGTAACCTTTGTAACTGACGGAGCCGTTTTGCTCTCAGTCCAGCTCAGTGAAATTTGTTTAGAGCTGCAGATGCAACATATTCTGAAAAAGAAAAAAAAAAACACTGCTTGTAACAGAAAATGTTTTCGTCCACTTATTATTTCTGCTTCAAGCTTTTAAAACAAAGAAAGACAAGTTTTTTCAATAAAGTGGGTAGATACATTTTCTTCTGTGGGATGTTGATATTTTTCAAAAATGCTATAAAAAATCTACTAAAGTTTATATATTTATAATGAATTTATAAGTTGAGAGCGCTTGAAATTGAAGTAGAAATTTTTGTGCACTGCAAAAACAAAATATTACCAAGTATTTTTATTTTAGTTTCTAGTTCAAATATCTTAGTACATTTGAAACAAGACAAAACTAACTTACAACTAGCATTTCTGCAAGACGTAGAGCTTGTTTTAAATCAATAATTTCTTTAAATTTACGAAAAATTTTGATTTTTCCGCTTACGAGAAAAGACGAATGCCTCATCATAGATGAAATAATCTGTCAGAGGATCTAATACTTTTTAAAATCAATATTAAGAAGTTATTGGTCTAAATCAATCTTTTATTTCTTGTTGAAAAGTTACTTTTAAGTTAATTTTGTCTAATTTCAAGTGTACAGAGATATTTTCACAAGAAAATTACTTTGTAAGATTTTGGGGTTTTTTGTAAAGTGCAATTATTTCATAAAGAAAATCTGAAAAGCTGCTGGAAGTTGCGTTTAACATTCCATCTTTCTCTGTTTATATTAGTAAGCTCTTTATTATTCAGCCAAAGTCAGTAAGAGCCGCCTGTGGCTCCGGAGCCGCAGGTTGAAGAGCCTTGTTTTAAGCCAAAAGGTAATTGTGCTCTCAATGTAAATTTATAAAAATAAACAGAAACATCAGAGTTCATCTGCTGTTAGTTTCTACATTTTGTTTGTTTGGGCTTCACTGTACCGACCTTCAGCTTTACGTTACAATCCGGTGACAAGTTCAGGGATCTGTCAGCTGTGCGCGTACGTGCAGAGCCGCCTCTGAGGTTAAGGAGCATCATTACGGACTAAACACAACTAAAACAAAACACAGGCTCCCTGGTGCCCCACAGTCTGCCCGACTAAAACCCTGGAAGGACGGCAGGGAGGGGCCTGGCTCAGAGACGGAGACCCGGCTGCACACCGCTAAGGAGACAATGCGGAGCTTTATTTACACTCACACGGCAGGACTTTTTGTTTGTGTGCAGAGATCTAAAGCCGTGGTTTTAAATGTGAGACAGTAAGATGTTTGTTGTTCTTTAAGCGATGAGAAAACCCAGTCAGCTCTGACCCAAACCCAGCAGCAGGACTGAAGCTGGGGAAGGATTTCAGTTTTCACTCAGAAACGGTTTCAGCAGAAGAAATTGATTCAAGAACCGAATCTGACAGAAAGTCACCTGACGACAGGCGATGGACAACAGATCTCCAGAGTACACCTGGAGAACGTTTCCATGGCAACGGGAGGCAGGATGCTGACACAATGCACTGTAAAAACACAATTTTACCAATTATTTTTGTCTGGTGTAAAGTGTAAATATCAAAACTGACTTACAGGTTATGTTTCAGCAAGAGAGAGCAGCTTGTTTTAAGTCAATAATTCTTTAATATTGATGAAAAAGTTCTAGTTCCACTGCAAGATTATTTCACTTATAACAAGATATTTTTCCCACAAGTGAATTAATCTTCCAGTGGAACTAGAACTTTTTCATCAATATTAAGGAAGTATTGACTTGAAACAAGATCCTATATCTTAATGAAAGTTATTCCAAGTTTGTTTTTTCTTATTTCAGGTGTAAAAGGTATTTGCAGATGTTGTGGTTTTGCAGTGTGAATGCTGACATTAAATCAAAACGTTGCACTTATCCAGCTGGGTTTTCATTTATTTCAGTTTATAGTTTTATAGTTTAAATGCCACATTGATGGGAAACATTTGGAAATAATTCATCATGGTTATGTAATCTGGCTGCATTGATGTTAAATATAATCTGAAACCTAAATGAAATGTAAGAAATGAAGGTTCATGATCCATTTTATTTAAAATTTTGCTTGTATGTGTGTGTTTTTATTTTATTTTTGGTCATTTTGTTAAAATATCTTGCAGCTCCAGTGTTAAGTGATTTTAAACTAATTTAAATGTGTTGATCTTTGAGAGGATGATGTCCCATTTTTATGCCATTATCATCATCATATTACTTGAAAATGATCTCAAAATAATAATAATATCGTTTATTACCATCATTTCTAGGACAATTGATCATCCAAGTGATGCTGCAGGATCATTTTTTAGAGTCTCTTCCTGTTTGAGGAGGAAGCAGCTTTGCTCCTGCTGGGCTGTTCATGGGAGGAGGGTTTGTGATGAAACACATGGAGATTTCAGCGCAGCTGTTGCCAGGTAATCAGCCTGTAAGGTGCCTGATGCAGGCAGTAACTGACCTCATTGTTGATGATTTGATAAAACGGTTTAATGAGAAGCAAAGCAGAAAAAACTTATTTACACCAGAAATACGCAAAGCTGAAAGTGAGTGCGTAAAGTTGGCGCTATCCTTATGCGCACAGAGCTCGGTGATTCCAATCAGTCTGCATGGAGAAAATGAAGGAAAAGTCATTTCATAATCATGTCTGTGTCGTTTTATTGTAAGAATATAAAGAATAAATAGTACATTTCCCAAATTTACAGGATAAAACATGACTGTATCAATAATCAATAGTTCAACTCTGAGGTTGATCCGCTTCGTCCAACACAAAGTCCGTGCGTGCCTCTGTGCGCCACTTCTCCATAAATACAAAATATATAAAAGCAATATTCTGCACAAATAAAGTAGACTCTGGTTACAAATAATACTGACTTTGTACAGGAAGTTGGCCACGCATGTACAGAAATACATTCTTACACTCTGTAGTGCAGGTGGGGGGAGAAAGAGGATAAAATGACCGAGCTTATAAGTTAGAGTTCCCAGCAGTCCTAGCTGGAGCAGGAACACTTGCAGTCCGTGATGACCGGGTACTGCACCGGGATCCAGGCGCATTTCAGCCCGCCCTTCCGCTGCACGCAGCGCCACCGCAGCACCGTCAGGTGGGTCGAGTTGGCGGGTCTGCAGACCATCCCCTCCGGAACGGAACACGACCTTTTGCTGACGCAGCCGCCGACCCGGACGTACCGAGGCCAGAACCTGCAGCCGAGGTCGGTCCAGGTGTGGACCACCGGGCAGAAGGTGTAGGCCCACAGCCACTGCTGCAGCCGCCGCTTCAGCTTCTTGCTCGGCTTGTGTTTCTTGCCGATCTGCACGTCGAAGTCCACCGCCCGGATCTCCTTCGGCAGAACTCCGCCCGCCTTTAGGATGTCGAAGTGATCCGACTCGTCGGAGCCGGAGTGTTTGTCCTCCACGGGGAGCGACACGGACAGCAGGCGGCCGTCAAAGTCTCCCAGGATGCTCCGGAGCTCGGTCTCGTTAAGGTCCCGCTCCTTGGGGTCAAAGGCCGGATCTGGGTCCTCCTTTAAATCCACCACCGGCAGACTGTCACTGGGGATCGGGCGGAGAAGGAAAAAGTGCTGACAGATCGCTCTGTCCATCAGGAGTCCAAGAGACAGCATCAGCAGACACACGGCAGCGCACTGCTGAGGCTGATCCATGGCGAGCCGCGGGATCAGCGCGCACACGGAGCGGAGAGGAGGCAACTTTACGCGCCGGCGGTCTCCAAAACTGCGTGTCCAGAATCCCTCAAAAATCACTTTTCCATCATGAAACTCCCTGTGAGCAGGAAAACATCAGTGGGAGCGGATTTGATCGATCAGCTGAGTTCCTGCGCTCCGCGCGTCGCGGCTCGGCATGATGCTCCGCTGGCGTCCGCTGCAGAAAAGCACCGAAGCGAAGCCGCCGCCTCCGTTTTATCCTCCGCACGCAGCGTGAGGTAATCCCTGCGCCCCGCTTTCAATGTGGGTTTGTTGTCTAGGAGGAGATCCCCAATACCTCCTCCTCCCATCGCGCCGGAACGCGAGAGGAGACGCCCCCTGTTGGTTAAATCAGACTTTCATTCTTTACGGCTGTAGGTCTGATGAGCCGATACTCCCGGGAGATTCTGGAGAAACCAAATGCTCAAAAAAACAAAACCAAAGGTCGAAACTTTCAAATTCTTTACAGTTCATCAAGCTGCATTCGCAAACTTTATGTAAATTGTTGAGATTTTAAGATTGATAAACTGATACAAGTTGTTTAGGGGACTCGCTCTGCAATAATAAATTTATTTGTATAAGCCGTTACAACAACCACTAGGTTAACCAAATAAAACAAGATAAAACACAAGAGGCAGTAGAAGTAAAAATATCATTAAAAATATGGAAGAAGTTTGCTAGGGCAAGGCCAAACTCTGAAACAAACAGAAACATCCCTGTGGTGAAACATGGTGGTGGCAGCATCATGCTGTGTCCAAGAAAAGTGGTAAATTCAGTTTGCAGATGTACAAAACTCCAAAATTCCTGCAGCTGGAATCACAGAGCTGAAAACAAATCCACACTTTTCAGATCTTTATCAGTTAAAAAAGTTAAAGTGTTTATTCGTTTTCCTTTAACCTCATAGTATCCACTAAGCTGTTTTGATAAAATCCCAACCAATTCCTATTGAACTAAACAGAGCAGAAGTGAGATAAAAATATTTTCACTTGGATTATTAAACCAGATTAGTGGAATGAGATAAACTGAAGTTAAAGTCACTTAAGATTATGTTTGGTTTACGATTAATCATTTAAGGAAAAACAAAAACATTACATCATCATCCTCATAGCACTTCCTGTCTTCTTCATCTTTCCGCCAGTGGTAACTTTCTGTTCTTGATCACATGACCACCTGATGCAAAAAAAGTGTTTCCATTGCAGTTTTGTAAAATACACCAATTGTAATTCAGCTGAATGCAAGGCATGCTGTTTTTTTTTTTTTAAAGAGTACAGTTACTCAAAAATCTCAGAAATTTCCAAATTTTTTCAAGAAAATAAGTTTCAAAAATCAAAAATTTGCAAGAATAAAACTCATATTTTGTGATTTATCTGAGGAATTTTCTATAGAAAAATTGAAATTTGATTTTCAAAAGTCAAACATTTTCAACTTTTGAAAATGTTATTTTCTTTTCTAGCATATTCCATGTTTGAAATTCAGACATTAAAATTTTTTCTATAACATTTTTGAGACTAATTCTTTCAATATTTGATTTTTGAAACAGAAAATTTCCAAGTTTTTTTTCTAGAAAATCTCAGATAAATTAAAAAATTTAGTATTTTCTAGCAATATTTCTAAGCATTTTGTTTTCTAGCAAAGTTTTCTAAAATAAAATAAAATAAATCAGAAATTTTCTAGAAAAAAATAAAACAAGGACATAGTTTTACGCAGCTAGTGCCACTTCAAGTCGTGAAGAGAGAAAAGCCGTTTCCAGGTGAAGTGGTTCTGCCAGCTCCGGTTTTCGCAGCGTATTTTCTGTTTGTGTCCAGCTCAAGTGGGACAACATTTCTGGCAGCAGGAGCCACTTTTCAATGAAGCTGCTCAAACAAGCAGCAGTAGCAGCGGAAAGTATCACAATTTGTGAACCTGTCCAAGCCGAGTCGCAGTCTGAGAATCATTCCTTGAAAAATAATTTAATGGAAGAACTTAGCCAGCTGCTACATCAGCCATAAACCATGCACTCTAGATAAATGCATCTCTGTTTCATTTTCAATGAGCTAATTCACACGAGCATCTGAGCACACGACTCATTTAGTTTACGGTCAGATGATGGTGAAAAGTCTGGAAAATGTCAGCCTTATATTTTTCATCTGAGCAGCTCGTATCATAAACCATCGGTCCTGAAAGCGGCTGACAGATAGGCTCAATCCGGAGCATTCACACCGGGACGCGGCGGGTAAACAGCCGACACAAACAGCCTCAGAGTCCAGCGCTAAGTCTCATTCTCAATTACACGTTTCACAGATTTTAAAAGTGCTGTGCAAAGATATTTCATCTTTTAATGTTTCAAATTAAACCCAATAAACGTTCCTTCAATTAAAAGTTTCGGAAAAAGTG